AGTACTCTGATATGTTTCCCTTCCAGATTTCTAGTTGGCTAATGTACTTCACCCAACACTTGATACATAGCCAATGGTTTCCTATTAATTAATTAATATTGTCTGACTTTTCTGAGCAATGGATTATCATAGATCAAGGAGGATGATGTCATTAAACTTAAGAATTAGCGCTTTGTGCTCTTATTAGCAGTGCATGATTTCGTTTGTATAGTGGTAATTTCAATTGATTTGTTGGTATTGATGTCATTTCTTTGAAACATCGCTGCAATCGCAATGAGATTGCAAAGCACTAGCCGCCAAGCTAAGATATTAAGATTCACCGGCGCTTATTATTATTATTTTTCACTAATTTTGAGATACTTTTTTTTTCTTGACATATTAATGATGTTAAAATTGAAATTTATTGGACCTTTTCAATCCAAAGAGAAATTTATTGATTACTTTCTAATATTTGCTCTTCAAATAACCAAGGAGGCCTTAAGTTAAGCTCAAAAAAGCTATGTCTGACAAAGAACATGCATTTGGGTTGATATATAAGAAATTCAGATGGCTGTTACATTTCTCTACTTTCTAGTAGAGGCTTCATTTAGTAATGGCATGAATCTTCATGTCTTTGTTACTTATCGGCATGCTGTTGGTGGCATAGTAATATTTCCTTTTGCTTATGTTCTTGAAAGGTACATCCTATATCCATCTATTAAACCCTTCTGTGCTTCAAATGGTTTACAGTCCCAGTGTTGTATTGTAACATTCATAGTAGCACTTGTAAAAGTAGTCATGCTACACCTATTACACTTTTTGTTGATTGAAAGAACGTATGTTCTCATTTCCTGATTTCAATTATCATCATGAGCATGAACACTTCTATCAGAAGAGAGAACCATTTCGAAGTTATTATAAATGTTGGCTTTAATTAAGTATTCAGATATATATGATTTCCTTCATTGCAGAGAAGCAAGACCACAAAGCTGACTATGACATTGTTCTTAGAGATATTTGTTCTTTCCCTCACAGGGTATGGTTATCAAGTATCACTTTTAAAAAATAGAAATACAGTAATTAACATCTACCAAAATCTGGGAGTAACTTAATTTTTTCTTTCTTCTCTTGTATGAGCACGTACAGGATCAGTCTTGCCCCAAACATGTATTTCGCAAGTTTGAGATATACCTCTCCCTCTCCTACCTTTGTCGCATCCATGGTTAACATATTGTCTTCACTAACATTTATAATTGCAGTTACACTAAGGGGAGTAGCATAAGTAAGATTGCTTTAAGATTGATGATATTTTTTAAATTATCTTAGTCCTTCTATGAAACAACGGGCGTTTGGTTCAGGAATTTTTTTTGGAATAATAGGAAAATTAAATAGATAGAGAAATGATTGGAAAGATAGATAAAGTGAGATAGGTAGAAAAATGAAAAAAAAAATTGTTTGGTGGGGAAAAAATTTACTGGGAAAATTAGATAACTTTATAAAATCAACAGTGCATTAAAAGTCAGATAACCGGTTTTCCGAAAAATCCCACCTTCAAATTGGGTTTCTAAACAGTGCGGATATCTATGTTTTTTATAAATCCAGACAAATTGGATAGATGAGTTTTTGGTAAAAAACGTTGAAACAAACATGGTATTTCTAAAAGTCATACTTGAGAAAGATAGATATCCGCTAAAAAGCTCCCGACCAAACACCACCTAATTCTTTTCGTCTTGACTATTTTTTTTCATGTACTCGGAATGCACTCAAGTTTTAACAGAGCCCAATGTTGTTGGGCTTCAGAGCTGTTGCCATGACTACTATTTCGATTTTTCTGTTCCATTTGGGCAACCAATTACCACACTGAAAAGCAAAGAAAACTTGTGGGATGGGTTACCCAACCCCAATATTAATAAAATAAAGAAGAGAAGAGGAAAATCGAATCATTCAACTTACATCATGCACATTGGCAAATAATTTGGGAAGCAGTAATTTTATTTATTAGTAAAGAATCATACACACGTAAACAAGTATTCTAGAGATTTGCTTATATGGTTAAACACTTAAGCATGCTATTCAAAAGCGAGGATAGAACGTTTATTCTCTCTTCTAATTATGTTTAAGCACTTCATTCGAGAAGTTTAAGTCCCGTTTATATGAAACTTAACAAATTCTTATCTTTATCAAATACAAATATCCTCAAAATCTTATCTTAATATAAATGATAAGTTTAAGTTATGATAAAATAATAGTTGGACACCACGTTTCATAACAACTCAAAATAATTTATGTCTTTTACGTTTCATGATATAATAATGTTGATTACGCAATCCTCACAAGTGCACGAGTTATGTTCTCAATGGCTTCGCTTGCTAGTACTCATCACTCGATATAGAAGTCCCCTAAAGCTAAGGGGCAATTGTTAAGTAATTTTCCTGTAGAAAACTTATATGAGTAACGACTTTAGATGAATCTTTACTTGCCATTTGGAATAATTTGAGGGAATAAAAATAAGTCAGATGATCCATCAAAATCTTTAGGCGTAACTTATTTTTGGCCTGCTTTTTGTAGCCTATTTAATAAATAAACAAAACATAAGCTTGTAATATATTTATCTAAATAGGCTAAAACCTAAAACTCTTAAAAAGTTTATTTGATTTATTATAATAGTTTATTCATTTATTATTTTATTATATTATTGAATTTTTTTAATATTTCTATAATTTTTTAATTATAGATTATTACAGCATGTTAGTTTTACGCATAACATAATACTTTTATTAAAAGCCATCCAATTTAAAATCCAAAATGTTTAACTTTCTTTTTTATTTAAAGACCTTCATATAATAATTACAAAAAAAAGGCCTTCATGTAATTTAACTTTTAAAAACAATTTGAGTTAGGCAATTTTTTTAGATTTTCACAAAGCGGTCAAGTCGAGAAAAATAACTTATAAAAAGTAACCAGTGGGGACTTATTAATATTTTATGAAATAAGCCTATTTGGACAAAGTTTAGTCCTTATATTTTTTTCTATTTGTAATCACATGATTATCACTGGTTGACTGACAATATTTAACATAACATTACAATAATTATTTTTGGGTAAACACAATAATTTTATTTTAAAAGATAATTTTTTTGTTTTTAAGTTAAAAATATTTACAAATGATTACCAAAAAAATATATTTACAAATTAATAAATTTATACAATTGCAATGGTGGAATAGGATTTTTTTAGCGGTTAAATTATATATATTTTAAAATTTATAATTAAAATAAAAACTTATATAACTGAATAAAAATATTCAGAATACTTAAATCACAATATAACATAACGTAGTATAAATAAAAATGCTCACAATATAAAATAATTATATTAAAAAAATCAAGATGATTTCACCTAAATCTTGTTCTATGTTGAATCATAGTATTGAATTCTTCTACATCTGAACATGTGCTAGTTTTTATAACAATGTCTTTTTTTTTTTTGATAGCCTACAACAATGTCTTTTTAGATATAAGTAATCAAACATTTTTCAAGAAATTAATCTTTCATCCTTTTTCGAAGATTACTATTAATTATTAATAGACTAAAAAATAAAATCTATTTTAATATATATAAATTTACTTTTTATCCAATTTTTAAATCCTAAAGCTATTATACATATCTTATTTATTTATTATGTATTGATATTTACATAGACATGGCATTTATTTAAGATTGACTTGAAAATAAAAATATTTTATCGTGTTTAATTTTTTTTATCCAATTTTATTGTTATTATCTTATGTATTTATTATATGTTAATTTTTAAATAAAAATAGATATCAAATTTATTTAAATTGACTAAAAATAATAATTTTATCATATATAATTATATTTTTTATTAAATTTTAAATCATATTTTAATTATTTCTATCTGATATATTTATTTTATATTGATATTTAAATAAATATGAAATATATTTGAGATTAATTAAAAAATAAAACCAACTTTAAATGTTTAAATGTAATCTCTATCAAAAATAAACTTTCCATAATATTTCATATTTATATATCTTTTAGATTAATTTAAATAATATTATCTTTTAATAAAATTAAAGAAAAACATAACAATCAACTCTTATAATAACACGACACCTTATGTTAAGAACGATTTCTTGATACAAGTAGTTATTTTTGAAATTGAAGGAGGACGATGACTCTTGGCCCCCTCATTTCAGCATTACATGACTGGTTTATTTTGAATAAATATTTGAGATTTTTTTCTTGCTATTTTATTATTTCTTTTAGTTAAAATTTGAATATTTTTAATCTACCAAAGATAAAATGGAATAAATTTACAGTAAAATTTTCAAATTTCAACTATGTTGAACATTACAATTTTTACATGTGAAGTGAAAAGAAGAAGAAGAAATTATTGATTGTGATTAGGGTTGTAAATGGAAAAGCCGATCTAATAAGTGCCTACGACTCGGTCTATTATATATAATCACATAGAACTAGCTCAAGCTTAAAAAAAAAATCTATTTAGAAAGTAGGTTATAGATTTTCTTTTACATGTTGATGTTGGGTCTATAAACCTACATGTCAGCTATATCATATTATTTATTTTATTTAAAAATAAATAAATTATTATTTAATATTTTTGAATAATAAAACATAGTATTTTATATTTTTTTAATTATTGAATGTTTAAAAAGTTTAAACAGACTAACAGGTCTCTAGGCCAAAGTTTTTATTTTTTAAATATAAATCAGATAAAATTTTTAATTTTAGCATATGATTGTGAGAAAGGGTAAGATTTTTTTAGTACATGAAAGAGTAAGGTTTTAGATGAGAAGAGAGCCAAACACGGCTTTCCTATTGGACAATCTTCGAAGGAAGGAGAAGCAGAAGAGCCGAAACGCAAAGTCTATAAAAATACGTATTAATTAATTAATAATTAATATAATTATTTTTCACTGTAATTTCGTCTTACTCTACGCAACTCAAACCAAAAAAAAAAAAAAACCCCTCATGTTCTTCTTCTTATTCTTCTTTCCCCTTGCATTCTTCTCCGAACTTGTGTCTCATTCTCTTAAATTCTTCAACTTTCACTTCATTTTCTTCAAATTCCACTACTTCATTCGATTCCTCCGTTACTGCTTCGTTATCTAACAACTTCCACCTTCTCTGCTTAGTTCAAGGTCCCTAACTTTATCTGTTTCCTTTCCATCACCGTTTTTTTTTTTTTTTGGTTTTCTGCTTTGCTTAAAATCCATTCTTTATGCTTTAATTATTGCATTTTGGATGGATGATATTGGTGCTGATTAGAAACAACGGGTTTGTGTGGTTTTAGCATCTTTCATTCTTTCCGTTTATTTATTTTTTTATATTTTTTGTTTCATCGAAATAGTTTTTAATTTTTATATCTATAATGCTATATAGATATAAAACTTGTGTGCTCATGTTCTTGTAGTGGGGTTGGGATAGGCATGGTCAATTGAGTGCTATCATAGATATGTAGATTGGCATTATGTGTGTTTCCAATTTGCTAGTTAGTGAGGAGGTTGTGCATTGCTTGCATATCCTTTAACATTAGGCTTGGAGTATGAATACGTTTGATTGTGTTGTAGGAAGGAGGGGAGATGAAACTGAGCTTTTCCTTTATTGGGTAGACTATAATGAAATAGATGGCAGTTAGGATACAAAGTACAATGGTCTTATGAATTTAATTTAGCGGTCTAAGGCTATAATTCTGTGCAAATTCTTGATGTCAATGAAATCATTTGCTACCAACAAATAGTCATCCTTTAGAGTTTAGCCTGTGCCTTAAGGTGGATAAACATAAGCATCTAGTACTTGAAATTGATATGATATCTTTAATAAGGGAAAGTTTTACAAGAGAAAGATTGTTGAAAGTATGGCATTCCATCAAATTGACTCATACTACACGTACCTTAGTTATAATTATCAGCCCATTGGGTTCAAAACTGACACCAAAAATTGCTGCAACTGATTTTGATTCTTATTTAACCCTCAGGACTGCCAATAGCTTTCTTTCATGAGCTTCTGTTTTTTAGATTCCTTTGGAAAATGGTGTGATGCTGACGTTTCATGATGATGATTTAGGTGTAGCGCCCCCCTTCAAATCTTTCTGGGATGTTGGTGTTGATACTGAGATAGATCATGATCAGGTAAGATGTTCATTCATTGTTAGAAAGCTTGGTCTAGATACCATTGGTAATATGTTTTATGTTGCCAACTCCAAGCTCTTGATGTAAGACCTTGTTGAGTTGCCCTTATTTAGCTGGTGATTTATATTTTTTCTTCTTATTATTTTTCTGTTGTTGAGGTGCGTTGGCGAATACGATGACAACTGCATAGTTTCTTGTGATACCTGTTTTTATGTTTAGCTTTGGAAGATTCTAATATTGGTTCTGTCGTGTTTGTAGAACCTTGTCATAACCATTTTGTTCTTTGGGGCATGGACTGGCTGTTTATGCCTACTGTTAGTGTCTGTGAACAATGTTTAGCAGGCCAAGGGGTGCCAGTGCTTTTAGTATATTCAAATGGAAACAACAAGGTACATCATCTCTGACAACAGGTTTGCTTCAGGATGTTCCACCAGAGATTGAATTGTCTGATTATCGAAAGATCCCAAGTCCAGGCAGTGAGAGCCCTTCAGGACTTCTTAATGGCGAAAGCGTACATGTAGAACCAATTGCTGATTTGGATCTTTTCTTTGAAAGGCTTTATAGCTACTACTGTGAGAAAGGGCTATGGTGCATCATTATAAAGTGGATTGTTGAACTTCTAAGTCTGGGGTTCACCATATGTTTTTCAGGATTTTTTTTACTTTATGTTGATTGGAATGGGCTCCGCAATGCAAAGTGTGGGATGGATGCTGTTGAATCTGGAATTAAGCCCTGTGATCTTGCTAAGGAAGCTCTTCATCAACACCCTTTAACTCCACTAACACTTACGAAAGCTATTATTGTTGGATACTTGGGAATATTTTCCATCTATTGGCTATTTTGCTTTTTGAGATTCTTTGCTCAACTAAAGGATACTCTGGAAATCCGACAGTTTTACTTCAACAGGTAAGTATGAATAATAAACAATTAAAATGCATTGATGCAAATAGTTAATTTTCCATGGTTCACATGTTTTTGCTATAACTTACCATGACTTTCTTGCAGTCTCCATGTTACTGACAATGAAATTCAAACCATGCCCTGGGCTACAATTATTGAAAAAGTTGTTCTGGTACAAAGTTCTCGACAACTCTGTGTGGTAAAGGATCTTTCTGCCCATGACATGGTCATGAGATTGATGCGGAAGGAGAACTACTTAATCGGAATGCTCAACAAGGGTGTGCTTGCTTTCCCCATTTCACAGTGGGTTCCAGGAGCTGGTCCTACAGTGAAATCAAGTCCTAATGGACCACAACATTGTTTAGTACTAACGAAAACTCTTGAGTGGACTTTGAATTGGTGTATCCTGCAGAACATGTTTGATCGGTATGCTAATTATTATGCAAATACCTTTTGTTGTACAATCAGAGTAATCAATATCATTTGATCCTATAATTTGTTGATAATGTGTATGAATTTTTATCTTCAAGGGTTAATCATCAAATTTTCTCTTTAAACTATTTTGTGAAAATGATATGGTGGTTTGAAGGATGCAATGACTATTTAGATGCAGGATGTACGATTGATTTTTAGCTATTTGGTGGCTCTTAAGAGACACATTTCATGTTATTCTGGATATTGTGCTTGTAACTTCATAGTAGGATTGGAATTGGCTGTTGTTGTATTTTGCATTTGTCTTTCACATGAATGCATTTAGATTGAGTTATCTTGTGATTCAGTTAAGTAATTCATATGAGAATGTTCATTATACTGTACTCTTTTCAATGTTTATATTCTCCTTCAAGCACAAATTTATTGCAGGAACTTTTGTGTCAGAAGGGATTTTGTGTCAAATCCAAAGACATTACAGAAAAGGCTTGTGGTAGTTGGGCTTTCAATGCTTTTACTTTCTCCATTTCTTGTCATATTCATGGTGGTATATCTCTTCCTGAGGCATGCTGAACAATTTTATAATCACCCAAGCAAGGCATCATCTCGAAGATGGTCAAATTTGTCGAGGTGGATCTTTAGGGAATTCAATGAGGTATCATTATTCTTTTTCTTGGTCTTCCTTTTATTTCCAGCTTGTTTCCTGCTTTCATGGTGTCAAGGACCAGAAACTCTTTGAAGCCATGTCCAAGACCAATTCTCCTAATAGTTTAAGCTGTTTGATGGAGGCCAATGAATGGTTGCATATTGGGAAAAAAAATCATTGTGGAAGAGAGATTTGAAGTTGTAAACAACTATTAATGAAAATCCTTATTTGAAAATAAAGGGGAATCAAAAGAAAGAAATTCTCGGTAAAAATATTTCTAGTTTTGGTACAATCAACCACTTAACTGGTTAGTGATGTTTGAATAGCGGTTAATGAGTGACCACTTATTGACTTAATTAACCACATGAATGGTTAATTGCTCCTACTTCCCAAACTGGAAATAATTTTCCAAGAATTCCTTCTTGTCACTTTCCTGGAAAGATGATATTATTCTAGTCACTAGTCATTAGCTTGCCTGTCCTCGTGATATTTTTTGTATCAGGTCTTTAATTCTCTATTAAACAGTGATAGTGAATTATAAGTTTCTGTAACAGATTTATATTACTTGTTTAACAGTAGTTATTTGAAGAGAACCTATATATTACCAAATAATGGCCATTTTAGTTGTATATGACATTTTCTGTAACAGATGTATAATTGCAAAGAGGCTGTTTCCTGGGTTCGAATCCAGGAAACAGTCTCTTTGCAATTATGCAAGAGTAAGGCTGCGTACAAGGATTACCTCCACCCTACACTCGTTAGTTGGGTTTAACGGAGAGTGGTTTTTATTGGAGATTAAATCTTATGTTGTATATGTGCTCTCTTGTACTTTTGTGATAAATGCATTAATTGCTTGAAAGTGGTTTTAAGTATTCACTATAAATAGTTTGAATTTATCGCACCTAGTTATCTTTTTTATTAAAATCTTACTTGTACTCTTTTACTTTTATGCTAAAGTTTATCAATAACTTGTGTTATAGGTGGACCATCTCTTCAAGCATCGGATTAATAACAGTGTATTGCATTCTTCTGATTATCTCAAGCAATTTCCATCACCTATCATATCTATCATTGCAAAATTTATCTCTTTTGTATCGGGTGGCTTTGCTGCAATTTTGATCATCATTGCTTTTCTTGAGGAGTCTCTGCTAGAGGGCCATGTAATGAATTTCTGTTAATTTTGCCTATCTTATACATAATGCCATGACAGTCATTAAGGAATTTTTATTTTTTTTAAATGAAAAACCAATACAGATATTTGGTCGGAACTTGTTTTGGTATGCTGCTGTTTTTGGAACTATAACTGCCATTAGCCGGGCTGCTGTTACAAATGAACTTCTGGTCTTAGACCCTGAGGGAGCAATATCTATGGTGGTTCAGCAAACACATTATATGCCAAAGAGATGGCGAGGTAAAGAAGGTTCTGAAATGGTCCGCGTCGAGTTTGAAACCTTATTCCAGGTACTCTACCTGCGGTGTTTGTTTAATGCATTCCCATTATGCTTGAAAGACCTGTATCTGTTCTTTATTTACACTGTAGCATAGGTTTGAATACTACTTCTTATGCTCTTATGTTTGTGTGTGGTGCAGTATACTGGAATTATGTTACTTGAGGAGATGGCCTCAATTTTTCTCACTCCATATTTACTTCTGTTTATCGTCCCGAAGGTCATTTCGGTTCTTGGAGATAAATTCATTTATATGCAATCTAGGATGAAGTATTAATTATGTGGTTTTCCATTTTGCAGCGGATTGACGATATATTGCAGTTCATTGCTGATTTCACTGTAAATGTTGAAGGTGTCGGTCATGTTTGCAGGTTAGCATGAAATGTATTGATTTTCATCCTTTTCATTTGCATCCATCACCTTTGGCCATTATTTGGGGCATCTATGATTTTTTAATTTTTTTGGGGGGTTCTCATGTTTCATGTGTTAATGGCAAAAAATGTTAATTATATTTTGTTATATGCCTGATGTTGCCACAGTTTTAGCACCTTCGATTTTCAAGAGCATGGAAACAGTCATTATGGTTCCCCATGCAATGCACCTCGTAGCCGGAGGAGTTCCCAGGGGAAGATGGAGAAATCATTGTTGAGGTATGGTCTTGGCAGAACTTGTTATAAGCCTAATCTAACAGAGCCCTATTACATTGTGTATTCGTTGAGGTTGTTTCAATTAATCTCTCAGCTCTTACTGCTTTTATTTCAATTGTCTTTTATCCTGCCTTCAAGCTTTAATAGCAGTTGCAATGGAGTAAACGTTGCTCTTTTTTGGTGGAGGAAGAAGGAAAATGACTGAATTAATTGGAAAACAGATAATTAGAATTTTCTAACTTCCTTAGCTATAGGAAGGAAAAAGTTCCATCAGTTATCCATATATCTGTTTCTGCGTTTAAAAATTATTTCCATTATTGTTGTGATGATTTTGAAACCAGTGTTTTTTTTTTAAGAACAAAAATTGATATACCAAGTCTTTCTCTTGCATACTGCTGGGTAAATCATGAAGATAGTTCAACGAGCCAACCATTAGATAACACCTCCAAAGTTTCTCACTATTCCAATCTTACAATTTTTACTTTTTTTGTTTGGAAAATTTATATCTTCATAAGCTTGAAATTAACTCCATTACTTTTAATCTCCATGCTGTAATTCTCTTGCTAATGTTGCCAATGGTTCTTTTGGGTAAATGAAGATCATGCAAGAAATAAAGACAACGATTATAATTTTAAAAAGTCGAAGGAGGAGCAAGAAAGGAAAATTTTTGGTCTGTCATTTAGAACAAAGTAAATTGATGTTTCTACTCCCATAGTTGGATTTTAGTCTGTATAAATAAAGCTGCTTGGGCAACTTATCTCAGAATTCCTTTACTATCGAAAATTTGTTTTCGAACACAGATGTGAACTGTGCCAATATGATTTATTTATTTTTTTCATTACAGCTTTCAGAGTAGTTACCCTTCATGGGAACCAAATGCTCAGGGGAAGCGGTTTTTGCTAAATCTCAGAACATTCAGAGAGCAAAAGTTACCAGTACATGGAAACAGACCTGCATTTTCTCCTCCTAGAATGTGGAGGGGTAGTCCCAACATGGAAAGCAATGGAGACAGAAACCGGTTTATATCCAGGGAAATGCCATACAGTACTTTTGTAACTGGCAATCACTTGGGTTCATTGTGGTTGATTGAAGGCAACCAAAACAATCATCCATATCTTCTTGATTGGTACTATACATCTCGACCTCATGATGCTACTTTGAGAGAGATTCCATTAGAACCATTTGGAGAAATGGAGCATCATTCCAGAGAGAATTGGATGACCTCCAACTTGACAAAGAATGAACGTGGGTATGAAGAATACTCAAACGAGTATTGTGAAGATCGGGCTTCATCTCATCTTGGGGCTTCCACATCAGCTCCCATCTTCAGGGAAAGCCTAATTCAGGATCAAAATTCTAATGAACTGTCCCACGGTAACAGGAGTCATTGGTGGGCTAGAAGTCACCAACAGGGTGGACAGGCTCCGACAAGCTTTTTTGAGCCTCCTGATTTCAATCACCAAACAACATATAATTATTATGACAAGTTTTCTGATAGAGGGTCAGAGGATCAAGATCAAGAACAACGCTTGTACTGGAGAGATTATCACAGATTATCTAGAACAACTTGCACAGATGACTTAGAGGCAGGAGAATTTGATCTTCATTTTGATAATATTTACAGCAGACCTCCAGGAACTCCCCCTGTAAATCCCAACTCTGCAAGCTTTTGAGTGATGGCTTTGTCCCTCATTATTTGTTTGGGAGGCTCCTGCTTTCAAGTATGTGGAATGCATGAATTTCCTAGTCATGATTCTTATATGGAAACCCCGTTCTTTTCTGTATATAGATTCATTGGAAGGAGGTTAGACTGTTAAAAGAAATAAAATAAAATAAATCATTCATTGTGTCCGGTGTCCGAATTCATTGACCCAGTTTCCTGTTTTCAGGATCACTTTCGTCCACCTTTGAAAACAAGAAACTAAACCCATAACTTTCACCTCAATTCAGGAGGTTTCTAAGTCCTAACTGTCCATTAATCTCTGATGTCAGATCAGGTTTCCATAATTTCTTGGACTTGATAACATAAGCCAAGCTACTGTCTACGATAAATCTTTGTCCGCCCCGAGAGACAGAAGGTTTAAATTCTTGCCTTTTAAGTATTTACTATTACACCAAACTTTGAAAAATATTTCTACAAAATGTTTTATTGCACCTTACATAGGAATTTTTTTAGAAGAAAACTTTCCATATCAAAAGTAGAAAATATTAAAGATATGTATTTTCACAAATATATATATATTGAGAAATGTTATATTTACAACATATTTTTGCGTACAACCTTTTACAATTAAATATTAACTATTGATTTTTGTTAATTTGGCAGTTATAATTTATTAAGAATTAATAAATAATTAATGAATATGACCTAATAATTTATAACTATTAGATTGACGAAAATCAATGATTAAGATTTAGTTGTAAACAAAAATAAATTGTAAATATAATCTTTTTCATAGAAGTGACCCGCATTGCCAAACTCAATCTCGAATTGCTATTTATAGAGAGACTGTTCCTCAGGAGTTAAGTCTTGAATTACAGTTTGTATAAGCTATCCTTCACTTCATTACAATCCTCTTAAGCATTGGCAGATACTCTAGGCATACACCTATTGTCGGTACCCTTTCTGTGATACTTTAAATCACATTACAAAAGGTCTAGTAACGCCAAGGGATGGGGAGGGTGAGGGTCAACAGAGTCACAGGAGGAATAACAAGTTGGTATCAAAAAAGAGAAAAAAAAAAAGCAAACCTTACTTATTGTTGTGCTTTTGCAATTGTGTCTATGTGATTTGTGGTGAGGCAAAAGAAAACTAACTTTTTGAGATGATTTCCAAGAGGACATTTCTCATGCTCCTACTTATGGCTTCTCATTCCATGGATCCCTCTTTGCTCTGCCTTCGAATTGATAGCTTCTCCCACTGCCTGCATTCTCCACCCAACACTCTTTCACATTCCCCGGGCCCAAATGACACTCAAAGAAAGGAAAGAGAGATCACGAACATGAAGGAAAGCTAAGCTGCGTCGTGCAAGTAATAATGGGCTTTCATTTGTGATTTCAGGAAGAGTTTGTTTTTTCTGATTTCACATGAGATAACATCTCTTATGCTATAGACACAACGAGTGATAGATCCCACCACTTGTTAAAAAAATAAAAATATAAAAAAGATAACATAAATTTCGATATGTAACAACATGAGACAACAATCTCTAACAACATAAGAAAATGATTTTCCACTTGGCAATGACTCTAAAAGCAATGCCTCTATTTTTTGACAATAATCATAGTACTATGGTCTCTAGTTAAAATTTTACATCATCTTGTCACTTTGTAGATACTCACAAATTTTGATAAGACACATATATATAATAATTATAAAAAAGGAAATAAACATAAAAATTTTAGTATATGAACTTATCATGTGAAATTTTAATTATGAGGATCTATTTCGTCATTTATCCTTGCAAAAATCACTCCATTTGCATCCATATTTTATCTGTCACTCCTCCTGGAGCGTACTCAAATTTAAAAGATCTCACTGTAATGACTAGAATGAAGCTAAGAAAACATAAGAGAAAATGAGAAAGAAACAAATTAAATGAAAATGAAAAAGAAAAGAAAATTATCTTACATTAAACCTCGTTCTCCAGAGGAAGGACAGAAGTTTTTGATCCCCAACCATAACGAAATGGAAACAATGATCTTCTTCCTCTGCTATTACAATCTTCACTGACAACTAGCCTCATTTTGATGTCTATTCTGTTGTATGATGATAGCTTGAAAATCTAAGTAAACTTGTCTATCATTTGCAGAATCCATAGAGAAAGATCTTCGAATAGGCTGAATAGAAAACTGGTCATCTTTCTTTCTAACATCAATACATTCATCTCCCATAATGGAAACATGGTGGCACTTCCTTGGTTTCAAGTACACCATCTTCCTTGTAAAGTGACTTCTATAATGTGTTAGTCTTTCCCTTGAGTCATTTCTTTCTTGCTGAATCTGAGGCTGTGTTCCCCCATGTTCACCCCCTAGTTGAATGACCACAAAATCTTCTTCACTGTCCATGTTAGAGAGTAATTGAGAATCCTGAGGAGAAGAGCTTGGAGCTATGATATGGTCCATTGGAAAGTGTGTGTTGCCTGAAATGCTTGATCTACAAAGAGGGCAATTGGCATTGGTTTGAAGCCAAATGTCAATGCAATCCAAGTGAAAGGCATGGCTGCAATGGGGCATAACTTTTAGCATATCCTCTTCTTTAAACTCAGTCAAACAAACCACACAACCATTGACACTCTGATCCTCACCTTCACTTTTTATGAATTGAAATGTTGGTATTTCTCGGATGAAAGTTTCATCAAGCCCACGGTTCCACATCCTTGGAGAGAATGCTAAGAAGGGATCTTCATTTTGCCTATTTCGCAGGATGGAAATCCATCTCAAAGGGTTAACTTGATGCCAGTTTGAGCAGCATTTGGTCACAAGAGTTAAGTAGATGATAAGTATGAAAGCAGTGGCCAAGATGCTAGGCACAACAATTGCAAATATGGATAAAGCAGAGTCTGAAGCAGGTTGTGGTGGGTGATGAATTGTACTTGCCTGGGTTTTAATGGGTGGGAGAGCTTCATATACAAGCTTGTAAGTGTGGTTGTGGTTCATTGCCATTTGGAAACACTGAATGTGAGATATGGAATGCCTTCCCTTTTTTAAGAGTTTGATGGTTCCTATCAATGTAAGGAAAAGATCTTGTCTTGGATAGAAAGGAGGAGACATATGTAATGAAAGTGAAAAACCAATAAAATCAATGCATTTGGATTTGTCCTAAGTTCTAAGGAACAGGCACATGTGCTGATCACAAGGAAAAGGTTCCACCCCAAGATAATCACAAGGGGTCAGGGTTTGACTTTGTAAGGAGGCTTATCCATTTTATTTTATTTTTGTCTTTTCAGTGTGTCACTATTGGAATTTACACTCAGTTCAGAGCAGATCAGTTCTTGGATGGTCCTACTACCCAATAACTCTACCACAAGCTCCAATATATAACATGGAAAAGACAAAATAGAACCGTGTAACCCACTCTAATTTCCGTTATTCTGTATCAGAAAAGTTTTCCTGTTTTTTGTTTTTTTTCAACCCACTCTAGGAAAAACTTAAGTTTTTATAACCAGATATTTATTTCTTCCAAATAACAACGAAATATAACCTCTTTCTCCTTACAATCTCTTTTATGATTATTAGATCAAAATTAAATTAATAATTCTTATTTAATATTATTTTATAACTGTTAATTTGATTTTGATCAAAAAATCATAAAAGTGATTATAAGATATTGTAAATATAACCTCCCTCACTAACAGTTTAAAAGAAAATGTGATAATTGAAATATTGTTATGCTAACTTTTTTTGTCTTTGATTTATGTTTTAGGATTTTATTTCTCTTATGTCACATAAGATAAATTTTATCTTCTACTCTCACTTCGATTTTCGTGCTCTATTTTTTCTCTTTTCTTTTTAAAAATAAAATGGGTCCCACTATTTGTTGTGAGAGTAGGAGAGAAAATTTATCTTATGTGACATAAGAAAAATAAAATCCTATGTTTTATACAGAAATTGCACAAAGAAACTTTAATGTCTGAAAAAAATGCGAAGGTTTTTTTAATTTTTTATAATAAAAATATTTATAATTTTAAAGTATATAACTTTGTGTCAATTTTTTATATTTTCTTTTGCACAAAATTAGGAGGATAGGAGAAAGAAAGAGAGAATATTGTAGAGGATGGAGAATAAAAAATAATCAAAATAAAGTAATTTCACTTTAAATGACATGAATTTGTGTACTTCAAAATCACAAGATACTATCATGTGGTAACAACAAGGGGTGAAACTGGGCCAAACCATCCTACAAGGGCCTACGACTCGGCCTACGTCAGACCAGACCTAACCTAGTATATTTCGTAAAACAGGATGGACTTGGGTCTTGAAAAAGCTTGTTTAATAAAAAGACTATAGGCCCACTTTCACAAGGCCTGACCTATAAGCCTACAGGCCGGCCTATATTATACTATTTATTTCAAATAAAATAAAATAAGTATGCCTTGAAGAAAAAATAAAAGATATAAATTTAATCAGTTGTAATTATTTATAACTTAATTATATTCGATTATATTTTAATAGAAATTTGACTTTATTTCTTATGTAGGAAGAATCAACATCTCAGTATATTAGATTGTGTATATGAATATATTAAAAGATTTTTGGGAGATGTTATACTTACTATAAGCATTATGATGTGTTTGTTGGATTCATGTAGTTATTTTAATTTACATAGTATGGATTTGATGAAATATATGTTATTTAGTTTGAACATTTTGCTTTTGAAAGTGACTTAAATGCATATAGTATGAGTTTTGTTGTGATTCATGATTCTGTTTGGACGTTGAAATTATGATTTTTAGTTTAGCAACAAAATTTGAGTATTTTGTAAAGTTGATTCAAGGTTCTGTTTGGAACTTAAAAATTAACAAGCTAACGGGCTAGGCCAGACCATTTGTTTTTTTATAAACGGGTCAAGCCAGACTAACAGTTAGACTCGTACTAGGCTTGGGTCAGGCCAAATTAAATTTTTTTGACATAGGTGAGCTTTTCGGGGCAAAGCTTGGCCCAGCGCAGCCCACTTTCACTCCTAGTAACAACGGAGCTGAGTAAGTAATAGAAATGTAAGGGTCTGAGTTCAATCTCCATATGTCACTTTTAGAACCCTAACCCACCTCGCACTTCGAATTAGTCATATAATTAGAGTTGAGTTGATTTAGAAAATAAAAATAAAAATCACAAGACACTTTTCCCAATTTTTTATTACATCAAATATTATGATATTAGTTTTTGGAAAAATGAGATGCCGATATGGTATGGCCTAACGTTTGTCTCTAAACCTTAGCTTTTTGTTTCTCTGTAGTTCGGAGTTCCAACATTTGTTCTTGTTTGCAACAAATATCCTTGTAAATTATCGTTTCTGTACACTGAATTTCATCCAAAAAGCGATGAAGAAACTCGTATGAAGCTGGTTCAATGTCTGTTCTATTCCGGAGGACGTTATATTCCCATCAGAAACAATACCCGGCAACATCAAAATCCCCTTCAGCAGCAGCAGTATCCCTGTGATCGATCTCAGTGAAGGACATGAAGGTGATTCAGCTTATATGATTCAGAAAGCCAAGCACTTGAAACTACAGTTGTGGTCCTAATTCTAATTGATCTTTGTTTTCGGATATGCTGGGGTATGTTCTGTTGCAGTTAAGAAATTAGCATCAACGATTTTGAGGCTGATCAGCCAAGGAAGGAATTGGTCTGAAATGAGTTAAAGAAGCAACTGGCCATTGCTTAATTTCTTAGTTGAATTAACAAACTCCATCACACAACAATCTTTTGGATTTGAAGCGTTGAAAAATGCATATAAATTGTCAAAGAAACTGTGATCCCTTGTAAAAATTCAACTCTTCCAGAAGTTTTTTTTTTTTTTTTTTGGTAAACTTATTTTACAAGCCATTATATAATAGTTAAAGGAAAATATAATAATAATGTTGCAGGAAATGACACTGTTCATTCCTGCAACAAGGATCTGGCAACGTATCTTGAGGATACGGTGCCGTATCCTGATTTTGGTTTGACTTTTTTTTTAAGCATGAGACCCACACTTGATTTGTGTGTGCAGGAATGTGACATGACTAAAATCGAACTGTTAAAAGACTCTTCCATAACTATTATTAATGGCTTGTGAAATATATTTTATATTTAACTAAATCTGGATATTTTGACCATGTTCTATGACTATGACAATTGACAACTAACCATTATTTGCCATGCCCTGAACCAAGTTTTATCAAGTATATATGGGGAGGGGACCGGTGTCGAGCCTCTTCCTCACGCATTTGTGGTGAGTATATTTTTTATTTTTATTTTTTTATCTTACATGATTAGTCATGTTCGAAGTATTGTCCGAACTATGATGGGTTATTCTTCATTCGGATTCGAACTAGAGACTTATAATTAAGAAAATATTAACTACTTAACTATGAATTGTGATAGAGAAAAAAGTGTCAATCAATGTGAAATATGATATGGTATTAAGAGATAAATCCAGTTGCACAATTATGTAACTTTCTAGGGTATACGTCCATTGCAACGGCAAAAGTTGCAAGTAATTAACAATAGCCACAATTATAAACATCATTGATTAAGCAAAATATATAGTTTCATTGGTTTTATATGTTTTTACAGATTATTAATAAATAAAAGACATTAATTATTTACCCGAAGGGTTGACGGGGGAAATGAAGATGGAGATCACACTGCTACCTTTTTATAAGTATATTTAATTTGGCTTATTATACACCTTAACAAAAGTTTAATATTGAAGATAAAAGAGGCCACCGGATTCTTTTTCAACCGAAAACCATGATGTAAGACATGAAGGAGAAAGCTATTGAAGTTCAATGTTTCACCTTAGAATATTATTAACCACGTGCTTAATTTAATTTAAAATTTCAATGTCACAATCCCACCCTTTAGTTAATATATCCTCATTAGAATTTGACTACAGAATTGATCTTGGGACCATATCGATCATATTAGTTTAGGGAAACAAGTGGCACGGAGAGGACAAATGGTTAACTTCTACATCCAAAACTTCCATTATGTATTGCTAATAAATAATAATGATTTCATTAGCATTAGCATAACCTTGAGATGCATGATCCTTCTGACCACACCATCAATTTCAGTTAGAACCACGATATCAAAAGGGAAATTTTCTTTATAAATAATCCAAACAAAAAAATGCTTGAGTGATCCACATACGTTGAACTATAAAACCAATCCCCATCATGGAGTATTTCAGCACGTTGATAATTCTCCCATCCATTGAACCTAAGGTAAATTTCTACTCTCAGTCATCACTAAGTGCATTGTCTGCTGAATATAAAAGGCAAAGCCAAGCTAAGATTCTTTAACAAGTACTGTAACACAATGGAAGAGGACTTAAAAGAAAAGGTGAAGGAAGTGGAAGCAAAAGAAATCAAGTACAGAGGTGTACGGCGGCGGCCATGGGGAAAGTTTGCGGCGGAGATTAGGGATTCAGCTAGGCATGGAGCTCGAGTGTGGCTTGGGACATTTAACACTGCTGAGGAAGCTGCAAGAGCTTATGATCGTGCTGCCTTTGAGATGAGAGGTACTTTGGCCATTCTCAACTTTCCAAATGAACATCTTCCATGCAATGTGGCTTCTTCTATGTCCTCCTCTTCTTCATCATCTTCAACTGTTAAAACTGAGCTTGGTAAACAAGTTTTTGAGTTCGAGTGTTTGGATGACAAGTTGTTAGAAGAACTCCTCAATTGTGATGAGAATACCATCAACTAAAACTTGTATGGTTGCTAATGATGGTTGGCATGACCGGTCGAATCTTTCGCCTACACTAGCTTTGGCGTTTTGATTCTCAACTTTTTCTCTTGTTCAACTACTAAAAAAATTTTATATAGCGACCGAATTATTATGGAATTTTTATTACTAATTTCATTCTCGCAACTAGTTTCAGTTGCAGATTCTCTCACAAATGAGATTTGTGACAAAATTTGCTAAGAAAATCGAAATAGCCACGAATTTTGCAAAAAAAAAAATCATTAAAATTATGTAACTACACAGATTTTCTCTAATAATAGCTTTTCTAACTTGCATGAGTTGTATTGTTAGAAAATAAGGTTGAATCCTAAATTTGTATGTAATACTCCTCATCAATTTAATGCTTTAGTAAAGTTGCTTAGTCATTACACAATATTTATTCCTGAGTTACATTTTTTTTTTTTTCCAAATGGAACTAAAAGTTTGAATAATATCACCTCGTATACATATGAGGGTGCAAAATCAGAGGAGTTGTTCGTTCAGACTTGTTTGCTGAACAGAGCTCCAAACTCAATTCAAAACCATAGCCATAAATTACATATATTATATATATCTAAAAACGTAACCTTTTCTGCGAATTAGCCACCATGACCAGTCCGCATCATGTGGAAAAGTGAGGTAGTGGGTTGACTCGCCCGATATAAAGTCATGCCGTTATTTCGTTTTCATTAGTGCCTTTCTAGTAAGATAAGGCAACATCAATGTTGGCACGAGACACTGTACAATACTATCCAAGACGGATACTGTAGAACCTTTTTTTTTTTTTTTACGACTTTAATAAAGAAATACTTTAAAAAATTGCTACGAAGTTTATAACTTACACCATTCTAAAAATGGAATTTTATATTACATCAAATTAATAATATGAAAATATAATTATATAATTATACTATTTGAGTGAAAAAAAAACCTGAAGCTTGACCTTGAAAGATTGCAAGATGCAATGGATTAAAGGGGCCTTTGGTTGAGGAGAAATTTTTTGAATACTAGAGAAATGTAATTGATAGGGAAATGGTTGGAAAGTGAGTTTGGTAGGAAAATATAAAAAAATTTGTTTGGTTGGAAACAATTCTACCGAGCAAATTAGGTAATATTTATAAAGTCTATGTTTGATTCGAGGTAAAATATAAATGGAGAAATAAGTGACAATTACGAAAATATCTCTGTTTTTAATTTTTTTTCAATCACCTACCTTTTACTTTTTTCTTTTTTTTTTAGTACAGATTCGTACCAATTCAAGAGCAACATTTTTTGCCCCAATACAGCCTCAACAAAAGCAATCAAATGGGCAAAAACTGGGACCAATTCAAGAGAAACCACAAATGCATCCAAATGGGAATCATAAGTTCATACCAATTCAGGAGCAGCAACAAGAACAACCAAGGAACTCAAATGGGAAATAAAAGGGGTTTGCTATATTTTCGGTTTTCAGCATCATTTGTGCGTACGCTTTTTTCTGGGATAAAGTGGTGAAGGTAAAACCAGATGCATATATCCTAATTTCCTCCACTGCTTTTGCTATCATGTCATTCATCTTGTCAAGACTGAGTCACTCCGGATTGGAGGTTGATCTCTTAAATTTTTTCTGTGGAAATCTAATAGCACAACTCATGAAGATAAAATTATTGTTGGCCATTGTTGGAATGGTTTTCAGTTATTTCCTTTTCATACTTCGTTCCCGTTTAGATGGCTTGGCAGATCCTGTAGTACTCCCAGTCCAAGACACTCAACTCAATCCTATACTCCCTGGCCATCTCCTAGTCCAAGACAAAGAGGGTATTTTTGGCAATGAAACACTCCTCTTTCTCCCATTTGCATAGGGAACTTAAAATACCACATTGCAAAAGGTCTTTCTCAACAGTGTTTCCCCCCCATTTTTACACACAAATGCAAATTGCTGGGTAACACAGATGCATGGGGAAAATTTTGAAAAACTTCAACCAAACAAGGAAGTCCAAAAAAGCCACTCTCAGATGCATGGATAAATTCTACAAAAACCTCAACCAAACACCCCCTTAGAGTGTTTAGACATTATTTTACGGCTACAACGAAGTTAATTTATTTTAATTTTATTTACCCACGGGATAACAACGGAAGAACTAATATATAATTGAATAAAAGGAGTTACACAAGAAATAATACATGATGTGGAACTTCAACTTCCGTCACACAAAACTATTATTTACAATTTGAAGCACAAAAAATCATATGGGCCAAGCTCATTACGTATGTAATCTATTCAAGGATCTCTCAAAGAATTAGTGAAAATATTCTCCAATTGATAATTTGAGTTGATGAATGTGTGACGATCTTTGTTTCACTCGATTTGGTAACCACTCTTTGTTTCTTACCTTTTTTAGAAAACTAAGTATTCTCCAAAAAATACATAATAACTAGAGGTGGATCTCCTATTAATAGGGCAACATGTCCAATTATCATCTGAGTATCCAACAACCTAGGTACCCTTATCTCCATAGAAAAGACCTTTTCCTAGAGCTATCTTATGCACTTAAGAATGTGAATCATTGCATCCAGGTGTTTTACACAAGGAGAATTAAGGAACTGACTTACCACATCGATGACAAATGAGATGTTTGGTCGAGTGATTATGAGGTAGTTCAATTTTTCAACTAATTTTCTATATCTTTTTGGATCTAAGAATGACTCCCCCTGATTTGGCATAAACTTGACATTGTAGGAGTATCAACTGACTTGACATTCAATAGAGTTGTCTCCTCAAGAATGTTCACAACATACTTTCTCTAGGATATCATAATACCACCTTTGGATTGGGTCACCTCTATCCTTAAGAAATATCAAATTTTTCTAAGATCCTTTGTCTGAAAATGATGGTTGAGATATTGTTTTACCTAAGCAATGTCATGATGATCGTTACCAGTAATGACAATGTCGCCAACATATACCACTAAATAAATGGATCCAAAAATGGAGTGGTGATAGATATTGAGTGGTCAACCTCATTCTGAGTCAAGTCAAATTATTGAATAACAGTTCCAAACCATGCACGTGGACTGTTTGAGTCCCATATACAACAAAAAAATTGACTCCCCACGAGCAACAAACCTAGGAAGTTGCTTCATATAGATTTATTATGCAAGATAACCATGAACGAAATCACTCTTAACATCTAGCTGACAAAGAGTTTAGTAACATATAGAAACCATAGTAAAGAAAAGACAAACAAAGGTCATTTTTTCCACAAGGGAGAATGTGCTCCCATAATCTAAGTCAAACACCTGAGTGTATTCTTTAGCTACCAACCAATCCAACTGACTATAACCAACCTTAATAGTGTAGATCCACCTACAACTAATAATAGATTTCCTAAAAGGAAGGGAAACCAAATCCCAAGTAGCATTTCTCTAAGCGTTTGGTAGAAGAGAAAAAAAATTTTATCTGAAAATCTTGATTTTCAGAAATATGATTTTTACATGTAATGTATAACCTGTCACCATCCAAAATATGATTTTATCCGAGAGTCATGTAATGTATAACATGTCACCATCCAAAATGTGATAAAGCCTTTCCAATAGTCTTAGCCTCTTAGGAATAACATTGAAGTTAAATAAGATAGACAAGCAAAATGAAATGGAGAGAGGCGATGGTAACTCAAAGCAACATAATGAGGTGAGGGATTACGACAACTACGAATACCTTTGTGAACGTAGCTAATGACAAAAAACCTGTAAGTGTCGGTTAAGGCTGAGACATCCTGGTTAAGTTTGCAACGCATTTTCAACAATTATTATTTTTTATATTCATTTTTATTTGTTTATTTTTTGTTAGCTCAAACTTTGATTTTTTGTTTGAATTTATCGATCATGGACCCAATTGATTTGTTTCCATCTTGGTTAGAGTATTCAACTAAAGATGTTGCAAATTATAATTGGCCTTTTATAGCAACTATTGAAGAGCTTTATCAGTTATGAATATATATAATCAAAAATAGGCTTCGAAATAGAATGGAAGACCAATTTTTTTATAATTCTTTGATTACAGCATTAAAAAAGAAATTATTTTAAATTTTAGCATGAACTCAATTATATAAAAGTTTAACAATATAAAAATTTGTAAAATAAGAGTTAAGTGAAGTGATCTTAATTTTTGTAATAAATTTCTTTCAAATTCCTTTATGTTAGGTCTATATTGTATCATAAGTATTTTTATTTATAACACAATATTTTTTATTTTCACTCCTGTCATAAAAATTCCTCGGCCGGTCCTCATGTGAATGAATGCAGTACTCTTTATTTTAGTCACGAGTGGTTGCAGCTGGTGAACCAATTAATTAAACACATAGACCTGAATTGCAACATATTATCTAGTGATGGAATTTTGGGTACGAGGAAACATAACGACAGTACTATGAAAGATGGCTTTGAGTAGACCTTAATTCGGCGTATTCCCCGCACATTCCAGCAAACAATCTTCACAGTTTTTTCAAGAGTCATAGTCAGCCCGTCGATTCAATCCAAAAATTTATGTTTAGGAGAAGGTTATATATTATTAGTTTTATATTAAGAGAGCTCTCTCACTCAAGAATTGAGTTTAAAGTGTGCACAATGAACCGATTCACCAATTTGTGCCAAAAAAAATTCATAATATAAAATTATTTATTAATAAAATAATCACGATAAGAATCTAATTCGTGACTATTTGATTAAAAATTAATTCAACTCAGAAATTTAAATTATTAAATGAAGATTATATTAATAATTTTATATTATATTTTTCTAACACTAACGATAACTTTCTATTTTTTTATGGTAACGATCCACCTTCTGTATACACAAAAGATACCTATTATTTCCCAGTTTTGCCTGATGATAGTGAATTATGGATCAAGTTCCCGTAGCCCTCTATTGTAATAACAAAGTAAATGCTGACCCCAACCATTGTCACATTATAGGTGTTTTCATCAGAAATGGATAACATAGGATAGTCATTAATTGCTTAAGACAAACGAGGCCTCTTTACCAAAACAAATATACTCCATCTCTCTTATTTCTCTTACCTGAATTCTTACAAACATTACAATGTCCAAATCTGGTTTCGAATTACTTCAACTTACAAATACATAAACAAATCAAAACTAACACATTAAAAAAAAGAGAGACCACAGAGCTTTCATGTCAACCTTATAGCTAGCTTGCTATTTTCCACTAGAGATGTCGGTTGCATCTTGCGCCTGAAGGAGTTCTTCAAGCAACTTATTGTCCACGTATTCCAACTCAAAAGTATTGCCAGCATGTTGTTGTTGTTGTTGTCTTAACGAACCGGCTCTCAAAAAGCCATCACCAGAATAAAAAGAAGAAGAAGAAGAAGGAGGAGGAGGCTGTGGCAATGAAATTGAAAAGTTTAGATTCGGAGAGTGATCATACTCATTAGGGAAGTTGAGAATGGCTCTGTGACCACGAAAATGAAATGCAGCAGCATCATAAGCTCGTGCAGCCTCCTCGGCGGTGTCAAAGGTTCCCAGCCACACGCGTGTCCCTTTTCTTGTAGGGTCACGAATCTCTGCTGCAAACTTACCCCATGGCCTTCTACGAATCCCTCTGTACCGAACCTCTGCATTCACTGCTCTCTCTCCCTCCATTAACTATTCTGCTTCTGAGTTTCAATTACTTAAGACAACAATTAAAACCCTAAAATTATTTCAAACCTGTCTTGCCTTGTACCGAAGCTTATTAGTTGAGATTGCAAGGTGGTAAACATGCACACGGGATAACCAATATTTATGCACTTGTACCTGGTAATAACCTTGACCACGATGGTCGTAACTGACGGTTTGAATTCAAACTTCTATGAATTTTAATATATGTATTAAGATTCCTAGATTTAATACATAATGGATTATATTAGTTTTATTTACTGCGCTGAAGTTGACATAACTTATAGTATAGGAATAAACAATTAACAACGATAGGTTCATGCATGAAGAGTGCGGTCTCACTTAATTGTTATGTTGTTGCTCTCGTGCTCGCTTACGTCACGACGATGCGCCAATTGTCCAATTGCAATGTCCCGTAGCTGAAATGCCATACTTTATACTTGATTGGGCAAGACTCTCTCCCATTAATGTAAAATTATTTGCGTCACAATGGATAGTGGCAAGACGCGCGTCATCTTTAACCTTATGAATAACAATGAAATCAATAATATTAAGGTTGATTTAAGTGTTTCGGGATTTAGGGGTCATATCAATATAATAGTGAATTAGTGAGTCAATAGTATTCACGTATTTATAAGGTTTGAAATGTCGCCGAGAATCAAGGGGAGATAAAGGGTACCGTGGCACAATAAAGCTGAAATTCATAACAGCAATGAAGGGCAATGCACATGTCTCTTCAACGGAAAAGAGAAATATTTATGGGAATTATTTTTGTTATGTAACATAACATAAAAGCAAACTTTCTACTCTCACAAAAGGAAGAGAGAGGAGAGAGAATAGGAAAAAGAGAAAAATTTAAAGTGGGTCCCATATAAAATTTGTGTGTGTAGGAAGATGGTTTTATGTTATGTAACATAATAAAAATAATCCCCAATATTTATAGAGGAAAAATATATCCTATTATGACTTATAATTGGGCCTTTTTTTTTTTTTTGGTAAACAAAATTGGGCCTAATTGTTTTGTCATATGAGGGCAAAAAAATTAAAATAATGCTTTTAAATAAAATAATTACGCATTTATTACAGTTTTGAGAATAATTACACATTTATTGCACAATGTGACACCCAAAAGGGCCGTCATACTTGTGCCCTATATATACCCCCATTTTTACCATTTCATTTCTCACTCTTACCTCTCTCTAACCATAGATTGTGCTCCCGATCGAACACGAAAATTTTTGTAGCGAAGCTCTGCCAACTTAGGTAAGTTTGTAATACCTGCTATGTACAAGTTTAAATTACAGTGCTACCTTGCAAACATGTTAGGATTTATCGTATATTAGAGACTTAGAACATTATGATAGTAACTTAGAACATTATGATAGTAACTTAGAAAATTTTGTACCATGCTATGAATGTTGTAATGATTTAGTAATTTTTTTGTTATGTAGTTATTATTATTAATATTTAATTATGCATTGGGGTTTAGCGTATTAATTAGTGATTTAGAAAATAGTGATAGTGACTTCGTAAATTTTGTATGATGTTATTAATGTTGGAGTGTATTGAATAATTTTGTAGTCAGTTAGGTGTTATTATTAGTACATATTTATGAAATTATTAGTGACTTAGGGTTAAGTATTATGTCAGTATGATTTAATTTGTGTCCGACGTTTTATTATTATTTAATTACAAATAAATGATTGTACTACGTATTAATATTATTTCATTAATTTCGATTATAGTAAAAATGTAGGGTTTATGCTTAATATTTTTGATAATAAATTAGGGCATTGCTTAATTAATTTGTACATAAAATGTGTTGTTACATGTGATTAATTTCAATGTTGTTTTATATTATATAGTTTAGGGTCATGGCTGATTCATCATCATCTTCGGTTCTGCATCGGATCCAGAGCCTACTGATCCTAGCATGTACATCATACCTGGGCCTTATAGATGGGACATCCTTCGTAAGAGGACGCAGAGTGCCCATATTTCACAGCGAGTGTGGAATACGGAGCATGTGAGGAAACTGAAGACCAGGCGTGGGAAACCACAGGGGGGCACCTACCGGCGCTATTCCAGAGGTGGTCATAGACTACCTCACACAGGCAGGATTTATACATGTTGCCCGGATGCGACATATCCAGGTATGCAATTTACGGCATTTTGTATTTATGTGATTATTCAATACCATTCGTTAACATGTGATAATTGTATAATTTATTTCAGATTGATGCCTCATTAATTAGTGCTCTGGTCGAGAGGTGGAGACTAGAGGCACATACTTTCCACATAACCCAAGGTGAGATGACTATCACCTTGCAGGATATGGCCGGCATATTAGGATTGCCGGCTGATGGCATTGTCGTTACCGGATCTACATCCGAGGATTGGCCCGCTGTTTGTGCTGTTGTTTTTGGCGCGGTTCCACTGGCCAGTGAGTTCAATCATTCAGGTGACCTCCGCATCTCATTCTTGGATCGGTTATATACTCGGTTATATATTTCGCAAAGGCGCACATTGCCCGTATGCTGGGTGTTGGTTGCTGGCGGACAAGTCTGGAGGTAGCAATATCGGTTGTCGGCTAGTCCCGTTGCTTGAGGGAGGATTTGATGAGATTGGCCGTTTTAGCTGGGGATCTGCGGTTCTGGCACACTTGTTCAGGAATTTGTGCGAGTGAACAGATGCCGATCGATCTGACATGGGTGGTTGCCATATTCTTCTACAGATTTAGGCATGGATACGATTCCCACCCATTGCTCCACCCCTTCTTTATCATTTTGTGTGTAGGTGGTGTGGCAACCATATTTCGATTATCAGTGGCTGGACGTGACTCCACAACAGCAGTATCTTTAGCTTGCTGTCACACCCCTTATTTACTTCCATACCGTAGATGCATGTGAACCGGATAGGTGCATGCGGCAGTTTGGTCTGGATCAACCCATCCCAGATGTGAGCAGGAAGTTGAAAGGGATCCATGATCATACTCTGCGGGGGAAGGTTGCCGCGAACTGGAGGCGTAAGCTTCGTCCTTGGATTGAAAGATGGCAGCCCATGGCGCAGCATATCGTTGTGCCCCTTTCATTACTAGGGTTGATGTCACCTAACCATGAGTACATGGAGTGGTACAGAGCGAGGGGAAAGAGATACATTTCTCGGAGGGCAGCAAAGATTGGACGAATGGTGAGTTTATGACAAATTTTAGCAAACATAATTATTTTACATTTGCTTGACATTGCTTACACATTTTTATATACAGATTGACGGTCTAGAGATGTTGTATCATGCAACAACTACGGAGGAGTTTCCTCGCTTCGGCTTAGAGTATATCCATGAGGAGATTGGCAGGATTATTGACATGTTTCGGGAGAATTCAAGGGTGGATGAGCCTGGACCTGAGGCACCCCCAGTCCAGACACAGCCTGATTCGCAGTTGTCCCTGGAGGTTCACTGTAATAGACAGGAGGGACGTGGATTAGAACGTACCCGTGAGCGAGTTGCAGTTGTCCCTGTTCCCATAATGGCACCGAGACCAGTGGTCGAGACTCAGGGATAGTTCAGACCTCCAGTCATTGGGATTACTTACGGGTCACAACCGATGTATCATCACGGATCCCAGGATTCGGGTGGACCTAGCCAGCCGGAGTCTCAGCACCCATACATGGATTCACAGGAGCCAGTTTTCCAGGCTAGTCCCATGGCTATGGCCGATCAGGCATACTCATAGCCTTCCTCACAGCCGTTTTCACAAGGACTTGATGCTGACGTGCCGGGTTGGTCTGTAGAGGATACTTATGACATGCGGGCACAACTAGGCCTTATCCCAGCTAGCCATGACAGTGAGGAGACTCTAGCCACGGACACCCTCAGTCAGGGATTCACGTCATCCCACATGCAGGGCAGTACTTCAGGCCATGTTTATGCACATTATCCAGGACAGTCTTCGAATATTGGAAGGACCGCACCGGCAGATGATTTCATGCGTGCGGCGATGGATGATTTCTAGACTCCACCACCACTGGCACATCAGGGCGACCCAGCATGGGACATACGTATCCAGCCAGATAGGGATGCACGTCATAGGCCATCGCCACCGTGGTCGTAGTTTCATTGCCATATAGGGATTTTTTGTATTAGTTATGACTTTATCATTATGATGTTATATTGTGGACTGTACATTATTATTTTATCTGGATTAATTGTCTTTAGTATTTATGTTTTGAACGTCAACATAATGCATGTATGATACAGGAACTAATCAAGACGAATTACCATACCTCCGCAATAACGTCCGCATCAAGCTGTCTATGTCCCTAGGAAATATGGTCATTTAAACAATTGTGATCTCCACCCCATCTCGTAATCTTCCAATTTTCACCAAACACTGGTTTGATCGCCCTAACGCGCCACAGGCAACCTTTATCATACGCACAACATTTCATGGATAACTTTGTAGGCGTGCTCTCAATTACAATTGCTTCTTGATGCTCCCTAATCAGGTTGTGCTTAAGTGCCATTTGGACATCTTTTTTTGTTGCAAATTCCTGGTTCACAAATAACTTGTCACCCAGTTGCCACGGACCTTGTATTGAACCCGATCCTGAAACCATACCATCAGTGTATGATTCTTGTTCGCTCCGATAACTCCAATCAATGTACGAATAATGCGGAATTTCTTCCCAAAAAGGAATAACAGTTTCGTCACCTGCATCTGATAATTAAAACTTTTTAATACAAACTTCCTAAATCAGGAATTAAATCAGGTATCTATTCAGGTATATACAAATTATATCAATTACCTTCATGATGATTACCTAATGGGGCAGATGCAACGTCATGCAACTGCGGCATTTGCACGACCACTGGTTCATGGTATACTGGGATTTGAGACGCACCCATCTCACCACCTTTCATCTTCTTCTGAAGCACTGGCATTCTCCTCCAGAAGACGTTCTTCCATTGCGATATTTTCATAATCA